TGGGACTATCATAAAAGAACAAGTGGTGCATCAAGGTTTAATGACGGTGGTAAAACAGATATGGTCAATGTCAGTTCAAGCAATAAAGAAATTTCATATTTAAAATAAAGAGCAGCATTAAGCTTTGGTTACTCGAAAGTCTCTTGTTTCACTAGAGGGTGGAAGATAGGAGCCAATTGTCTGTATGTTTGCTAATGCGGTCTTGTGGGCTGAATTCTTCCTGAGACACAACCCCGTAGCACTTGGCAGCACAAATTGTGAATTCGACGACCATTTTCAATTGACTGCAGTTCGTGTGAGGATGGAACACGAGTTGTATACATTTATGTCCTCAGGATAGTTTATGTCTAAATGAATCCCAGTAGATGACACAACTGGCGGCCTAAGTGCCGAGATTGGTAATCGCTAGACTGAATGCGCTAACAAGATAATGTGCAGCGGGGCTGCCGTAGCAAAACGCTTGAGGAACCATTTTTAGGTCACCGACCTTTCGTCCTTTACCAGAACCAAGTATGAGTTAGCGGATCGCAACCCGCTTACTTTAAGAGTAATTATTGCCATCCCAAGGCTAATTGACTCTTCGGTTTGTATTCAAAAACTGATTTTTTATCCTAATCTGAAAAAGTTTAGATTTCCCTAAATATACTAGATATATATATTTAAATCCAAATTCATGCATAACTACTGGCTACCTAGCCCCGTACCGTATTCTTGTTTGGGTGCGGTCACACCATGCACATCTTATTAGTCTTACCAAAGATGACCCCACTCGTTAGGTTTGTCGTTAATTTTGCGGTACCTTTCTTTATTGAGGGTACCCAAAGGATTGGTATCCTTTGGATGCCTTTGACACCTTTGCAAAGTAGCTTGGGCCATTGGGGACTGTTGATTTCTGTCGCCTTCCTATATTTCGTTGTTGAATGGGTTCCTCTAACTTATTGAAGTTGAGCGACACGACGATGACGGAGGCAAGTAAAACACATGCATACATGTTGCTGGGTGTAGAGTTGTACTTGATGTCATCAACTTAAAACATCTACTGTTTATGAGACCGAGTTGCGACCACGCTGGATCGAAAGTTCTTGATAAAAGCTAAAATGATTGACTTGACAGTGAATATAACAAGCCAAATCGAACACACCTAGCGTTCGGTGTGGGCTTACTGAAGCCATACCACGAGCTTACAGTCACAAATTTGTCGGACGTGATGAGAAATATTACAGATGAAGCAACGTTTCTACCAACCCCATAGTGAAGGTGCCGTGCTGTCTGGGGTAGCGATGCGGTTATGAATTGCTGAGGGTTCAATCTAAGCAGTGCGAGGATCATGCGAGTCTGGAATAAGACTCATCTTATCCCAGGACACACATCGCGACGCTCGACGAGTTGATCTGCTGATATATCTGAGATTCAGGCGTGAAAGGGGCGATCAACATTCACGTCGAGCAATTGGTGGACCTCGTGGCGCCACATTTTCATATCGCAATTTAATGCAATGCCCTCAGATTGCAGGA